GCCTAATTGTGTTGTGTTTTGACATGTCGTGCCATGTTATTGTTTCTTATTTCATGTAATGCAATTCAATTCGCTGCTATGTGATGTTGATGCCAACGCTCGTGTCAAATAAAATATATCGCAGCGTGAAGTCAGCACCCGACTTTCCAGGGCAAGGAGGCCCGGCAGGCTGGGCATGTGGGGGGTGACGAACCTGGTGTGCGTAGGGTATGTCTTCCTTGGACCTTGGCTGTAGCAAAGCCTTGGGCTTTAAGCATTCTGGCTTCCTACAAAAACATCTCGACCCATTTGCAGGCGGAAGTTTGTTGGGCTGCTTGTCATTGCCGAAGCGGCTTTGGGAATCTTGAAGCCGAAATCAATGACCTTACAAAGCTGTGCTTCACATTGCCTCCCCAAGGAGTACACCGCCCTCATTGCGGCCTGCATGGACTCCAAAACGGAGAAGATTTGCGAGCTGCTGCTGGCGCACGCGGCCATCGATTTGTGCGGGGGCCCGGAAGTCCGGGGGGCGGTTGGTGGCCAGTTTGGGTGCGAGCGCGGCTCACAGGCCGCGAGCTTGCGCCAGGTCCATTGGCGCTCGGTTTTGAGATTAAGTGGATGTGGGCAGCGGGGTGCCTGATCATTAAACAAGCCAAGTGCGCAGGGGACCTATAGGTGGAAACGTGGGGGTTCGGGCTTCGGCCATGGTGAATGGGGGTTCTATCAGCCCAAGGTCCATGCTCAAGGCCTGAGTTTGTGTTTATTTCAGCTGGACGTGGGACGTTGAGTGCAAAAAACGAAGCATGCCAGCGCGACGCCCACATGGCCAGGAACGTGGTGTGCTGTGGCTTGCACGAGTTCGGGCCGTACAAGCACTTCACAGTGAGAGACGTGGCACGCCAGGCATGGAGTGACTCGCTCAACTGGGAGGTTGAATCGCTCTTCTCATCTTGCTGGTTCAGTAGGGAATGGCGCAGGGTGGGAATCAACCTAGGGATAAAGGAAGCCATGGGAGATGGTTTATAGGGCTCCTTCCCTGCCTATCGAACCAGCAGGTCATTCAGCCAAAGCGGCAGGCGAAGAGCCCCCTGCTCTCCCGGCTGGTTGCCGCCGGAGCGCTGCCAGCAGCGCAGTGTGCGCAGCCCCCATGGCCGCGGGAGGGAGAAGAGGTGCAGGAGGCGCTCCGTCGGCCGCTTTCCTGGTTGACTTGTCTTGGGGCATGTGGCTGTGGCTCAGCAAAATGTACTCAAATGGGCCCTTGGTAAATGGAATCAAAGACCAAAACCTGTGTAACCCTAGCTCTTGAACTTTGAGCCACACCCGTATGTGCGCGTGAGAGCTGCTTCTGCCTTGTTGGCGCTTTGCAGCCCGAATATTGAATGGCCGTTGGCTAGGGGGCCCTGGGCCCTTGCCGAACCAAACCATCAGCCATAGATAAGTAAGAACATATTTGGTGTCCTTGTGGTTGTCGTGGTTGCGGTTGTCATGCTTATCGCGGATTTCGTGGTTTTTTACGGCGTGGTTTTTGATGTTTCGTTCTTGCCGTTCTTGCGTTTGTTTGTTTCTTGTCATCGTAGTTGTTTTTTTTTCTGCTGTTGTTTTTTGTGGCAGTGGCGGTTTTGCAGGAGGTGATGGTGGGGGTTGTGGCTGTTGCTGGTGTTGGCGCTGCCGCTGTTGTTGCTGCTGCCGCCGTCGCTGTCGTCTTCGTCGTCGTCGTGGATATCGTTGCTGTTGCTTTTGCTGGTTGCTGGTTGTTGGCTGTTGATTGGTCGTTGCCGGTTGGTTGGTTCTGCTGGCTGTGGCTGCGGCTGTTGTGGCTGTGGCTGTGGCTGTTGTGGCTGCGGCTGTGGCTGTGGCTGCGGCTGTGGCTGCGGCTGCGGCTATGGTTGTGGCTATGGTTGTGGTTGTGGTTGTTGCCTGTGGCCTGTGGTCTGTTGTTTGTTGTCTGCTGTCTGCTGTCTGCTGTTGTTGTTGTTGTTGTTGTTCTTCTTCTTCTTCTTCTTCTTCTTCTTCTTCTTGTCCTTGTCCTTGTCCTTGTCCTTGTCCTTGTCCTTGGTCTTGGTCTTGGTCTTGGTCTTGTTCTTGTTCTTATTCTTGTTCTTGTTCTTGTTCTTGTTCTTGTTCTTGTTCTTGTTGGGGTTGGCGTTGCTGTTGCTGTTGCTGTTGCTGTTCTTGTTCTTGTTCTTGTTCTCGTTCTGGTTTTTTTTTTTTTTTTTTTTTTTTTTTTTTCTGGTGGTGGTGGTGGTGGTGGTGGTGGTGGTGGGGGTGGTGGTGGTGCTTTGTGGTGGCCTCGGTTGCGATGCTTGTGGTTGGTTTTGTGCTGGCTGTGAAGCGGCTCACTTGGCCGGGGCCAGTCCGGTTTGACCAGTTTGGAGGACTTGAGGTGATGCCCCAGTGGGCCGCAAGAAAGGTCGCCACTTTGTAGCTGAACCTTCCCAGAAAGAAACCAACAGGGGGATGGGTAATCTTATTTTTCCCGATGGCTTGGTGGTTTGGCTTGGCGGGTTGGAGATCTGACCACATTCTTGCAGAGGCTACATCTCCCAACCAAATGAGATGGGGGTGTCTTTTGTTCCAAGGGTAGCCGCTCTTGCGGCTTTCAAGGGAAACTAGAAGGAAACCAATCGCTTCGGGGTTCCCCTATTTTGAGACAAACCCAAAAAATGGTAAGCCAAAGGGAAACCAAAAGGAGGCCATGATTCTCCGAAGGGCGCCCCTAGGCGCCGCTGCCTGCGCTGCCGCCGGGCAGGGCCCAGAAAGCGGCAGCACAACTGCTGGAGGCGATGAGAGGCCACAGGAGCCCCGAAGACGAGCCGGGGGTGCGGAGTTTACGAAGGCAAGCGCGGTTGCAGGAGTTGCGGTGACTGGATTTGGATTCGCCCGGAGGTTGGTGACTGGTTTTCGATGTTTGCCGCTTTCCGGCGTAGTTTCTTGCCAGTTTTTTTTTTTTTTCTCGTTTTTCGTCTCCCTCTTTTTCCCAAAGAGTGAGTGAAGCGGAGGGTTTCTTGAAGGGTTGGATGGCAAAGTATAAGCAGGTTATGGCGCAAGGCCAGGGGCTTCGGAGGTTTCCGGTGCCGGCCTTTAGAACGAGCCGGGCGCCCCTTCTCTTGTCTTTTCTTTCCGGCGCGTTCGGGGAGCTAACCCTGGGTCCACGAAACGCATGAGAATCGCCGTGCGCTGTCGTTTGGCTCATAAGTTTGGGGGTTTTGCTTCTGTGTTTGGCTCCTGGCTGACGATGGTGCACTATCCTGACGAGATCGAGTACTCTGAGAAGTACTCCGATGACAGGTACGAGTACCGCCATGTGATCCTCCACAAGGCCGCTTAGGGAGGAGGTAGCGAGTTGAAATTTTGCGCGCGCAGGAGCTGAGGCTCAAGCTTTTCGGGTGTTGACTCGGGTTGGTCACGGGCCCGGTCAGTTCTTCCATTTGCTTAAGCATGTACATATATATATATATATGTTTGTTCCCTTGTTGCGGTTTAAAGGGAATCTATCACAACTGGAAATATGCTTATTTTCAGCGGAGTTAGACAAATGGAAGAGTTTGTTCCCTGGAGGCAGCTGCAAAGGAGGTGTGGAAACTCACAGACGGCATGAAGAAGTGCTTGGAAGAGACGCAGTGGCGTGGAGTGGGGGCACCTCACTTGCAACAGCGAATCCACCGATCGAAATGACTTCAAAAGGCTGGCCCCCTTGGTGGGTTTTCCCATTTTTTAGTGGTCCCAAAAAATAATCCCCATTTTTTATGTCTGGGTCCCATCCGCAGCTAAGGTAACGCAGTCGCGTGGCTGGGTGCACTACGAGTTCCACCGCCCCGAGCCTCACATTTTGCTCTTCCGGCGCTTGCTGGGCACCGACCCTCAGACTGGGAGGGTGGCGGCGGCATGAGTGAAGTTTTGCCCGCCCATGCGTGCGGCCTAGCGTGACAGGGCAGAGGTGGGCTTGCCTTGCAGATGAGCAGGTTTAGGGATCTCTTGCCTGCATTTGCCTGCCTTGTCAGCCGCGTACATGGCGGAAGCAGCCATTTTGAATTCGTGGTTTTTGGGCCGTGGTGTGTCCCACAGGCCGTTTGGTCACGTCTCTAGGCCTGCCTTAGGTGACGATGCCGCAGGTGGGGTGTCTGCGGTATACGGTGTGGTTTCAACCGCTTGCACTGGATCTTGTCTCCGGGCGGTCCAAAAATGGTGTGCCGACCTCGTGCTGGCGCTGATGTTGCCATGGGGCAACTCGCGTTTGCTTTTCGTGCATTTGAGCTACGCAGCTTGACCCTGGGGGATCAGTGCGTCGCGTGCCTTCAGAAGCGTCCCCCACCCTTCTGCCAATCCCCACACCATCGGCAAGGAGCAAGCCGCTGTCTGAGCGCAGCCGCCTCTTCAAGCAGATGATGCTGGAGTGCCTCGGGCACCAAAGGGCCGAATGCGGGTCGAACTGCACGAGTCCAACGAAGAAGTTGAAGTTGAAATCTGCTCTCCTTTCCATAGTCTGGTTCGGATCCCCTGAAGTGGTCAGACACAGGCCATGGACCTTTCTGCCCCTTCCCCCTTGGGTTTCCCCCGTTTCCTCTTCCAGGCAACAGGTTTCATCAAGCCGGCGTGCGCCAGGTGGCACCCAGACAAGAGGCCCGCGGAGCGGGCGACCGCCACGGAGGTGTGCCAGTGGCTCCTGGGCCCGGCCCGCTGCTTCGTCGCCTGAGCGCTTTCGACCGGCGCGACCGGGGCGAGCCTCGCGCGCCTCGCGAGTCGGGCGGCCAAGGGCCGAAGGACGCTGAAAGGAGGGCGAAGACCCGCAGGTTGCCCAGGTCTGCGCTGGGCAAAAAGGGAGGCGCAGAGACGTGGGCCAAAGAGTTTCGGCACGGCGAAGATCAAGGGAAGAGCAGATTTGGGTGTGGGTCAAAATTAAACCGCCAGGAACTGGAGCGCAGGTTTCAGTCCTTGGTTCCATCCAGGGCAAGCCATTTCGGGGTTACCCTGTTTTTTGACCACCGCCATCTCACCCACAGCAATCATCCCATCGGCCCAAGGCCTTAGGCGCTGCCGACAGCGAGCTGTTGCTGACCTACCTCACCGCGCGCGAGCCTTGAGAAGGATGGGCGCACTTCTTGGCTGCTAGTGGGCAACGGATCTTTAGACTTTGCCTTTTTGGCTGAAACGAAGGGGTTTGCCACCTAACCCCCAAAAAGTTATGCACTTTTTGCAGGGGGGTCGTTACCGCAACCAAGACTTCCTGAAACTTTTCTGGCAAGAACAGATCTGGGTGTGGCGCAAAATTAAACAGGAGGGGCAAACCGCAGGTTTTGGTCCATGTTTCCACTTACCAGGGTTCCATTTTGGTGCCGGTTTTTTGAGCCACAGCCATTTTAGTGGTAAGTCCACTCAGGAAGTGAGTGGAACGGCGGTTTGGTGTCCATTTTGATCGGTATATGGGAACGGCTCTTTTGCTCACTCCTTGGACGTTTTGGAGAAGAGCGGCTCCAGCTAAAATTGGAGCCCCAGCTCAGGGTCTTAACAGCTTGTCCCTTGCTTCTTGGGCATCCCGCGAAAAGCATCGAAAAGCCTTAGGAGCTTATAGCTTCTTGCACGCCGTTTTCACGCAAGAAGAATAAAACCGGTGAACCATCCTCGAAGTGAACGAAACGATAAAGAAGGTAGGGTGTTTCATGCTCAGTGTGACGAGAGCCTCGAATGTAAGATTGGCGCGGGACTACGGGCCCTCAAAAGATCAGACCTGAAATCAAGATGCCGTTTTTATGGTTGGGTTTGTTGGTTTGGTATGGGCCTGGTTTTGCTGTAGTGTTGACATGGGTTCCCTCCCCCTACATGTTTTTTTCTCAAACCCTGGTCAGATCTGACATCAACTCGCGCGCTTTGGGGTCCACTATCCTTTTTTGGAGGCTTGCAACTAAAGTTACGGTTCACCCCCGGTTGATTTGATGATGTGGCATTCTGTTTTTGGGCGTGCCTTGTGTGTTAACATGGCAACAGGGGCCTCGTTTTCCGTTTTGAGACGGAACCACAGCCCAGGCCTTACCTGCGCATTCCGCTGCTGCTGAGCTTCTTCACGGACCGCGTGGGAGCCAAACTCGTCGTTTAGCGCACGTGGATGGGTGACTTCGTCCAAGATTCTGGCGGATGATTTGCGCTTTTCTGCCTTGTGACTCGGAAGGCGCGTTTCAGGTGTGTCAAAGCTCGATTTTTGATGGTTTTGCCGCGCTGGCTGAGAGTCCAGGCTTGACAACCCATGCAGGAAGCTGATTCTGTGTTTGAGGGAAAGAGGGTCAAGGTTACTTCTGCCACAGGCTCCAATCAATCCAAGGCATCGCGCACACCAACTCCAGCGCCTTACTTTTTGATTAGGGGGTTGCTCGCTACGAGTTCAAGACAGTTCCCTTAGGACTTGTGCGGGTGAACGCCTGTGCTGTTGTTCAGTGGCTCACCGCTCACCCTTTTTGCTTGGAAAGCTGAGCCTGCGGGCGCTCTTCGCCAAGGCCAGCGGGTGTCGGCACTGAGAGAGCCGCAGCTGCAGGCAGAGGGGGAGAGCCGAGCTCTTCATTTTGCCTGGGCGGTTTGTCCTGCCGGGGGGGGGGTTCTCAGGAGGTGCGGCGGGTTCAGAGGTTCAGATACCTGGCGAGTTGCGCCCGCGGCTATTGCGCGTGTGGTTTGGTGGCCGGATTTCTCGCTTTCCGTTCTCCGTGCGGCAGGTTGTTTTGGACGCTGTTCTCTTCGAGCCTCGCTCCCGGCAAGCGCGTAGCGGTGCTGGCAAAGTCTTAGCTCAACATCATCGCCTCAGCCCCCAACCCTGGAATGGAGATAGTTTGCAGACGATGTTGACCCTCGACAAGGGGTTCTTTCAAAGGCAGCTTTTTGAAAGGTCAGGCAACACATGACTTTGATGGGTGGCACAAGGGCCGCCGAACCTCCTCGGCTGGCACTTCTCCTGTGCACAGGGGGGTTCCTCTACATCAACTTGAGGTTGGAATGAGAAAGATGCACTGTTCTCCGCAGATGGCACCTCTAGAGAAACATCTTGGCAGACAAGTTCCGAAAGTGATCCGGATCCCTGCTTGAAAGGTAGGCGGCCTATTTGCGCACCAATATGTTCAACGTCTATGTCTCACATGCCATGTCTACGCAAAATATGTTAATATACATCCTCACTTGTACATGCCCTTGCACATCTGTATGATCAAGGCCTTGAGCCTACATACAGTAGAGCTACAGCTTGCCACCTGGAAACAACAGTGCCGCGCTGTCACACACAGGTCTCCAGGTATGTACAACATCAATCCAACTGAGCAGTGATCCCTGGTACACGATCCTACCACAAATACTCAGGGTGAGCTCCAACACGCACTCACAGGTTGAGGTACACAGTAGTGAGTAACATGGCACAACAACAAGATCAGCAACCACAACAGCAGCAGCTAGAAGGAATCCACAAGTACAAGATATCACCACCTCGCTTCAATGGCGAACACAACACCTTCGAAGAATGGAAGTACAAGATGACAGCATACCTGGGACTACAAGACCCAGACTACAACAGACTGCTTAGACAGTCAGAGCAATCAACAGGAGCAGTTACAAATGACCAACTTGAGAATGCAGCACCTTCACAACAAGTTGCAGAGCAATGGATATAACTGAGCAACAACTTGCACTACATCCTAGTGAGCACATGCGATGGACCAGCAGCTACAATCTGCAGACAAAACATGCAAGGCAACGGATTCGAAACATGGCGGCTTATACATGCAAGGTACTCCATACCTCTTGGTACAAGGAGCATTGGATATCTTACAAAGCTGCTCAAACCACAACTTGATGAACAGAAGTTCGAAGAGAGCTTTACAACATGGGAGTTCCAACTCTCAAGGTACGAACAAGACAACAACACACTACCGCAGTGCTACTCAATGAAACAAAAGGGCCACTACAGCAGCATTTGCAGCTACTAGCAGGAAACATCACAACATACGCACAGATCAGATCGATGGTGACCGAGTACTACAGAGCAACAGCGTCACGCACCAGACTACAGTCAATCACATCAGGCAGCAACAGCAATCAAGGACCGGCACCAATGGACATAGGAGCAACATGGCACAACAAAGGAAAAGGAAAGAAGGGCAAGCACAAAGGCAAAGGAAAACACAACAAAGGCAAAGGCTACGGCGGCTACGGCAACAACTTCGGATACAACAACTACAAAGGAGGAAAAGGTAAGTACAATCAACAACCGGTTGGACAAGGAAATCCTTTCAAAGGACAACAAGGATACTCCAAAGGAAAAGGATACAACAACAAAGGAAAAGGAAAAGGATACTACAACAACCAACAAGGAGGAAAAGGATCAAAAGGAAAGCAAGCAACAAATGTTTGCTACAGATGTGGACAACCAGGACACATGGCCAAACAATGCAGAGTGGCGATCTACAACTGCGATACTGGCAACTTCGATACCAATGACCAGACAGATGACTGGTACAGTCAGTCACACTATGACAACAACTGGTACCACCAGGATCAGATACACATGCAACAACTAGCATTACCACAGCCACCACAAATGGCGGACCCATTAGCAGTACCCATCTCAGGAAAACAAGAAGTAACAATTGCCATGATTGGCACAGCACAACAACACTCAGAAGACAACAAGTGGGTCAGTCTTGTGATTGACACCGGTGCGGCTACACATGTATGCCCACCATGGTTTGCACCACACTTTCCATTACACCAGCTCGCACATGGAACAGGACCACAACTCAGAACAGTGACCAACCAGCACATCGAGCTTTATGGGTACAGATGGGTCTGCATGACAAATCACAGCGGACAACAAATTGTCATACCATTTTACGTTTGTGAGGTTAAACAGCCGATTCTTTCAGTTACAAGGCTGGTGGAACAAGGTTTCCAACTTACATTAGATGACAATCCAAAGCTACATCACATCAAAGGATTCAACAGCACGCTGGAGAGCAGAAATGGCCTGTTCTTCCTACAAGCAGAAATCACAGCATTGCCAAAAGGAACAAAGCTACAGATACACAACACAGACCAAGGACAGATCGGCATGCTAGCACCGACCGCAACACTGACACCACAAGGTCCTGCAGACACAGGCTATGCAGGAGATTACTGGCAGTTCAACACACAAGGTGAACTTGTCAGAGTACACAGCAACACAGAAAGACACTCTTCACACCTTCGAGAACACAGTGTCCAGTCCCAGCAGAACAACTTGAGGACTACAGGAAAACAACCATCAGACTCAAGGATGGTACAACGAACACGTTTGAAGACAAGCATCAAACAATGGAAGCGCCAAACAAAGCACAACCACAAATGTGGAAAGGAGAGACAACATTCAGGATCAAGAAAGGCACAACATTGCCAGAGGCAATACAGCAACAGCTTGCAACAAAGACACAGCCAAAAAGTGCACCACAGAGGGTGACACCGCAAGTGATTCAGCACAAACCGCGCACACGGCTTAGAGAGAAAACAACACCACCAACAGTTCAGGACACACCTGCGCCACACACCACCAAAGGCGCAGCTGGACAAGGACTTCCACATCCTTCAGAGGTACACCCTGGAGGAGACTACTGGTACAGAGAAGGCCCATACTGGAAGAGAGTACATGTTGAACCCAGAACAGCGTTTTACATACCAGACAGACACACGACGGGCCAGACATCAAGCGACTCTTACCTTGGAGACAGACCAAGGTACAACCAGCTGGAGGAGAAAGACAACACACAAGGTTGATAGAAGATGAATGGACAACACAGCCAGCAAAGACATCAGACAAGCCTTGGACAGGCTGGACAAACTTTGAGGAACATCAAGAGTTCCCAACACAGCTCGAGTCAGATGATGAAGAACAACAACAAGGCACAAGAGCAAAAGCAGTACAGGCACCCAAGCAACCCACACCACAGGAGATTTGGAGCACAATGTTACACACCTCCCTTACAGGAATTGGTGTCCGATATGCGTACAATCAAGAGGCAGACAAAACAACCACCCAAAACAGCACAGCAAGCTTCCAATCATACAACTCGACTTCGGCTACATCAAAGGCTTCGATGACAACAAGGTACATCCAATCCTCACAGCAATTGACATCCAATCAGGGATGATCATGGCAATACAATTGTCCGACAAGAGGATGCTCTTCGACTATGCAGTCGCACAGCTACAGCACTTCCTCATTGAGTGTGGAAGAACAACACACAATACTACAATCAGATCAGGAAGATTTCCTGACAGCAGTCATTACCACAGTAGCAAGCAAGAACGGCAACATCACAACCCGGAACTCAGGAGCATACAGTTCACAATCACAAGGAGGAGTAGAACGAGCACACAGAACACTGTTTGCGCAAATCAGAACACTCAAGGCACAGATCAAGCAAAACTACAACAGAGACATTCCAATGAAACATCCACTCATGCCTTGGATCGTTCGACACAGTGCATACATCATGAACAGGTACGCTTTGCACAGCAATGGATGCACAAGCTACTTCAACAGATGGAACAGAGAACAGCATACACCATTGTGCGAGTTTGGTGAGACAGTGCAACACATGCTACCAACAGTAAAACAATTTCCAAAACTAGAGCCAAGGTTCTACAACGGGATCTGGCTTGGCAAGGACACAACTACAGGCGAATCCCTCATTGGGATCTACAACAAGATTGTCAGAGCAAGGACAATCAGAAGGCAAATAATGCCTCACAAATACGACCAGCAACTATTGGACTGTGCACACACAGGTCCATGGAAGACACCAGCATCAGCACTGCCCACACCGACTCTCACACCACCAGTAACAATGCCATCAGCAATCGAAACAATTACATCACAGAAGGATGCAGCAACAAGCACAGCAGCAGAGAACAAGATACAAAGCACAGCACAGTCGAGCGAACAACAGCCAAAGCAGAAGAGGACAGCAGAGCCAACATCACCTATGGCTACATCACCGGCGCATCAGAAACGACCATCATTGCCAGCACCACCGCACACATCACAGACAAGAGAAAGAGATGATACAATAGCAGAAGGCAGCGCCGGCAAGCAACAACGCACCACAGCAGAGAGACAAACCCTTGAGCGGCCTACAACAGGAGAACAACCAAAAAGCGAGATGAGAATCAATGCCATCAAGCTCACAACAAAGGATGGTAAACAAATGGAGACAACCTCCAATGAAGACACACAAGAAACCAAAAATGAAAGGATCCTACTGGAGCCGATCATGCATGACACAGAAGACCTGGATCCACAACTTGTAGCACAAGGCATGAAGAAGGAAGTACAACAAATGAAAGAACAATCAGTCTTCACAGAGATTGATGGCAACACAATGACACCAGAACAACAAGCAAACATCATTGAATCAAGATGGGTTCTAAAACCAAAACACAACGAAGTACGAGCACGCATAGTAGCAACAGGCTACACAGAACCCGTTACAGACCACGACCTACTCTTCGCAAGTACACCATTGTTTTGCATTCTGAGAGTGCTTCTCACAATGGCACTGGTGTACAACTGGTCGGTCTGTACAGGAGATGTGAGTGTTGCATTTCTACATGCAGCAGCCATCACACACAATCTGGTAATGAGACCACCGCACGAGTTTTACAACGAAGAGCACAGACACATAATGTGGCGGCTAAACAAAGCAATCTACGGTCTTAGATCATCACCAAAACAATGGCAAGACCACATAGCACACGTTCTCACAGTCACACTCGAATTGGTGAGATGCACAACAGAAAGCAATGTCTACAGGTCAAAGGGTTGCCTGGTCTACATTATGATCTATGTAGACGATCTCCTATTCATAGGAGTACAAAGCATCATCAACACACTGTTCAGCAGAATACAAAAGGAAGTTCTGCTTAGACACACAGGCGACCTAACAGTTGGATCATACAGGCGGCTTGTTGGCAAAATACAACGGCTAGCATACACACGACCAGACATCAGCTATGGAGCAAAAGAGCTAGCAAGATCATTACAAGCACCAACACAGTTTGACAACAAGAAGCTCAAGCACATGATCAGGTACCTTAAGGGCACAAGGTACATGCGACACAACTTGCGCCCAAAGATACAAACACAGGACAAGCGAATACCACTCAACTTTGACACATACACAGATGCCAATTGGGCATCATGTGAAACAACGAGAAAGAGCACAACAGGATTTGTACTGTACTTCTTTGGAGCAGCAGTACATTATGGCAGCAGAACACAAGTCACAATAGCACTTTCATCAGCAGAATCAGAACTGTACGCGTTTGGCACAGCAGCACAGGAAAGCCTCTACATCGGCAACTTCATAAAAGAAGCATTTGAGGTACGCATCAACATCAGGATACACACAGACAGCAGTGCAGCAAAATCAATATCAATGAGAGAAGGCGCATCAAAGAAAGCAAAACACATCGAGCTACGACACCTCTTCATACAACAACTTGTCAAAAGCAAAATCATTTCAATGCACAAAGTGAGGTCTGAAGACAACCCATCAGACCTGCTGACAAAGTTTGGCAGCCGCGACACACTCAACAAGCACTTGTACAACGTTGGCCTGTGAGGCCACACAACACCAGTTTCACACAGTTGCACAGTATGTTAAACAACAGTTGCACAGTTGACACACGTGTATGTTTCACAACTAAACGGCAGGCACACATGTTTTAGCTTTAGGTTAGGTACAGCCATGGACCTGCCCTGGAGATGATACAACCTTTCTGGTTTTGGGCACACAACTTTGAGTTCATCTTTGACCACATCTTTTACATCCTCGGGTACATTTTTACTGCATGAGGTTTCATACATGCTTCAGACAATGTCTTGGGTACATGTCGCAGCCATTTTACATTTTGTGGAGACACACCTACATTGAAGGCACACAATGGCGATGTCAGGTCTCACAAGGATCGCTGACTACGTCCCGGCCACAGAGGTCACAGTGGCGAGGACATGGGACGCGATGAGCCTTACATCTTTGGGCTACACCGAGGAGAACATCACCGGGAAACAGCCCTTGCGTACCTTGGATGGGATCCACATGGACACCATCCAGAACAAGACCAACATGATGTACATTGCAATGACATTTGAGGAGTTCACATCTTGGACAGAGAATGGTGAGCTGAAACACATCCATGGCTGGGCAAGATGCCCAGAGGTCGAGTACATCGTCTTGAACAGTTCCCCTTTCGAGGCTGTCGCAACCCTTCTGAATTACATTTCTGTCGGGACATGCAGGACACAGCACCTCGACACCTTCATTGTGGCCACGGTGCAGCTGGATGCGAGGCACATTGCCGAGTGGGCATCCCGCGGCTACATCAATTTCTTCAATAGGGGCTACAGTGCAGTACACATGCAAATTCACATGAATATGACATGGATGCAGACACAAGATGAGCTGTCTAAGCATCAGGTTTTCAAATACACTGGCAACAATGGTTTGCTCGGGATTTACATGAAGTTCAACTGGAACACAGGGTACATCTGGTCCTACAACGCCTGCGTGAACCTCGAGCAACTCGCCACAGATCATGACACAAGCCGCAGGCATGCAACAGCGGCACAGGCCTTGTCGTTGATGGGCGTTGGCAGCATTAAACATCTGCCACCCGCACATCAGGTTACATTGGTGAGGCACATCTCCATGCAAGATGCACGCAGTCTCAACACACGTGGCACAGTTGAGGGACATGCTGTGCCAGGACATCCAGACCACATCGCCTACATTCTCGAGCATCAACATTTACTACGCTGCAACAAAGGCACAGGTCTGCAATGAGTACATTACAGGAGTGAAAGCAGGATCCACACTGCTTACACAGTAATCGCCGATTTTTGGCACACCGGCATTGGGGATACAAGGTGTTGCAGTTACACCTTGCAGACATCAAGTGGCACATGCAGTCTGTACAGCCGCTCGACACACTAGAGGAACCGTTGTACAAATTGAAACAGTCACTGGAGCTGCTAACAATTTTACATCACCTCGACAAGCTAGAGCACAACTGTTTGTCTTGATGTCTAGGTACATCAATCCAAGGTGGGGTGTTAATATACATCCTCACTTGTACATGCCCTTGCACATCTGTATGATCAAGGCCTTGAGCCTACATACAGTAGAGCTACAGCTTGCCACCTGGAAACAACAGTGCCGCCCACCGTAGAGAGCGCTAAAAATCGCCTACAAGGAGTGCACGACCATCCAGCCCTAGGCCGCGAGGGAAATCAGGGGCAACTTAGCATAACTGGACGGACTGGATTTAGATGTGATTATAATTACGATGGGCAGGGTGAGACAGTAGCTGCTTAGACAGAAAACACACCAAACTGCACAGGCAGTCAAAAAGATCAGGTCAGGCAGGTAGGCAGGTGGGACAGGTAGGTAGAACGAATAGAAAAAAGAAAGAAAACATTATAGATGGGCAAAAACACATATGTTCACACATATATATATATATATATGGTTTTTCTAAAGTTGGATTGATGTCGTAAATATGTGCCAACCATGTTGCAAGTAGGGAACCAAGGAAACCCTGATAAATCCCATTGTTTGTGGTTGGTTCACTTGCAACATGTAGAGCATCCACCTAGTGACTGGTTAGGGGTGAAAGGCCATGAAGGGCCACACTTCTGGCTCATCAGAATTGGACTTGAGGGTCCCCGATTCATTTTTGTGGGGCTTGTAAATGAGCCATCATGTTTCTCCTCTTTTTTTTCTGGGGGGGTGGGGTGGCCGCCTTCTTTGTGGGGGTTGTTCAACGGGAACACCCAAGGAACACCGACGCCATCTTGGGGTCCCCTGAAAACGACGCGCTGCCGCCTTCGCGTTCGTTGCCGACGGCTCAGCCTGAGGCCGGGCCCCTGGCAGTCGCGCCTCGAGGCGCACCAGGCGCCGCCCGAGCTGGTGCCGGCGCCCGAGAGGAGGCAGGCGGGGAGGGCGCGCTGGCTGTCAGCGTTTTTTGGAAGGTTTCCACCTGTACAAGGGTCATGTCTCTTTTGAGACTCCTGGCCCACACAAACTCAGGCAGCGAAGCTCAATCCGTGAGATGCATTCGCAGAAGCCCATGTTGGAAGGTTGCTGGGGGGTCGAAGCCTCAGAACATGGAAAGGATAGTTTCCGGGGGTGACTTGTGATGGCGAACTCATGGCACCAGTTTCCCGGGCATATGGTGTGCAAAGAAAGTCGACCAGGTGTCCATGGCATGTGGGCGGGTTAAGTGGTATAGCCCAGAATGTTTCTTGAGCCCTGCCTTCAGGGCAGGGACTTGGTTTCTTGGCGACCTGCTTGTGGGTGGAATGATTTAGCTTGGGGCGCAGCTGTCACTGTCATTTGCTGTACCGTTCCCAGCGCAAACGATGCCTGGCAGCCCCACTTGCAACACCGCCACAGGTAAGTTACCACCCCGTACGTATTTGCGGGCCTTTTGCGGAACCAGCTCACCTCCGAAAGGAGTTGGGTACCATGCTTGGGCAGTTTGGTCTAGGCACCTGTCAACTGCTGCCGGCCTGCTGTTCAACGAGCTGATGCGGCCCTGGCCCCATGCCCCGGCTTGCTGGGCTTCGAGCTAGGGTTCTGCTGCAGCTGGGCGGGGGAGGGTTCCCCTACTAGAATGGACCACAACAAATCGGGTGCCCGTATTTTAACCCTCTGGCCCCTTGAGGCCGGGCTTCAGAGCCCAGCTTCCGAGCAGAACCCGCCATCCGAGGGCGCCGCAGCCAGTCTTGCACGCGGTCCTTTGCCTGCGCGGCCCTTGGTGAAAGGTTTGAGAATCCGAGCTCCCCGAGCTTTCCGCAGGCCTAACCACCTGGCAGCCAAATAGATCCCACAAGCGCGGGTTTTCCTAACGCCAAGCCAAAGGTACCTCGATTCTCACTGTTTTAATGTTTGATTCCCCATTCTCTTCACCCGTCGTTCTCTTTAGAAGCCACCTATTTTCCAGGGGTTGGCAACCATTTTGTTGAAGAGAAGGATCCCTGCAGAGAATGGGGAGGGTGCAGCTAGGGCTCCTGGCGGCGCGAGCCATGGCCGAGGCTGCAGGTGGCGGTGGAAAAGGATGTGGGAAGACCAGATTCAGCAAACGAAGGCCTGGCTGAGAGGATCGCTCCGGGAAACAGTTTCGACCACAGACTCCTGGCCATTTTTTGTGAACTGCACGGTGTGGCAGCTCAAGCCGGTGGCTTCAAGTTTGATGCCGCCCACACAGTTGGTCAGGTTTGGGGGTTGGCCAAATCCTGTGGCACCTTGTAAGCGGCCCTTTCGATTTGACAGAAGCTGGGCACGAGCGACATAGCACTGCCTGTCATGCTTGCAGCAGCTGTGCGCAAGCACGTGGGTGAGGGCTGGCTGAAATGCAGCAGCAGCAGCAGCAGGAGGAGCAGCAGCAGGAGGAGCAGCAGCAGCAGCAGCATCATCATTACCCATCATCATCAGCAGCCAGGATTGTTTGTTTGGTTGATTGGCTAAGCGGTTCGTTCCCAGCTCATTTCGCTCTTAAAAGGCGGTGGGGCGTTCACAGGGGGACAATAAAGCGGCGAGAGTCCTGCACTGCACTTCCTCATGCTTCCTCACAAACATGCTCGCATTCTGAGGCCCGTGTCGTTGTTGATATTTCGCAAGAAGACCACATTTGCTTGCTCTACGTGGTGACCGCCATAGCTGCTTGGATGTCGGAACCTGCGAGAGGAGCCTCTTGATTTTGAAACCCGCTGCCTCCTACATTTGATAGAGCCGAGTTGTCGGGGAAAGTTGAATGGGAGAAAGTCCACATACAAATTCAAGCGAGCTGTTTGGGTCTCATGAAGCTCCGTGGGCATCTTGTAGGGTGAGTGGCATTGCACCTATGCAGAATATTCAGACTAATGTTGACCCAGGATCTAAGTAGAACCCGTGCCATTATTAGGGGGGGGGTTCCCTCCAAAAGTGATGAATCCAGCCACTAAAAGGGGACACCCCCTATTAATCAACCCGGGGTTTATTTGTGCGGGTTTGCAGGCTATCCCTTGATCTCTTTTTCGGCGAAAGCCGAGTGGCTTGCTTGGCTTTTGGGCCAGGCTTGATCCTCTACATCATCCGCCTGGCAGTACGGGTGGAGTCCTACTTGGCCTTCCTTCTGGCCCCCGGCCTTGGGCCCAAGGCCTTGCTGGACGCCCTTCCGTTGGGCTCCGGTGAGCGCCGGACGTTTTCGCCCTCGCGAGCGACGTGAACTTTTTGTGTCTTCCCCCGTGTTTGTTGGCGCGACGTGATTTTTCCACCGGTTTTTGTTCCTCTTTGTTTGTTTTTCGCCCCCCTCCAACAGACAAGAGGAGCTGCTGTTCGCCCCTCGGAAACGGGATTTTGGCACCTCACGAAAGTGGATATGTCCACACCGAGGCCGGCGTGGCGAGGGCAGCTGCGGGTTTCTTGTGCTGGGGACGCCCAGGTACCAGTGGATGGGGGAGGGAGGTGCGCCGCCTTGATGCGTGTGGGTCAAAAATAGGTACCCAATATAGAACCCTGGTAGAAGGACACGTGGACTAAAGCCTGCGGTTTCCTGGTGGTTTAATTTTGACCCATACCCAAGTCTTGGCTTGCGTGAGCTCCGGGCGCCTGCACATTGAGGCGCAGCTTAGCTGTCCCCGAGGACCCTGGGTGGGACGGTCGCTAAGTCGAGGCGAGTTTTGTGGTAAATGTGATTTGCAATCTCGAAAGCTCGGCACTTGGCGGCGGCATCTGGATTCCTTTGTTGTCTTGTGCCTCCTGATTTGTGATCAGGAAAAAAGGAGGCGCCCTGGCGGTATTTGGCAGGATGAACACGCATGAGAATCGAGCCATGATTCTCGTAAAAAGGCAGATACTTTTTAAAGACGGGTCAAACATATCGGTAGGGGACTCACAAGAACACACACACACTGCCCCTGCACGATACCCTGAAAAGATCTCACTAGATGAGATGAATACGATCTCTTGAATGATTTTGACTGGGGCCGGAGCAGCGACCCTCTTGACATATTGGGCGTGCCTTTTTTTGGAAAAGGGGTACCGAGCCTCTAAAAAGACAACGGCCAGACCAGGACACCTCGCTGCTGGAAGAGCTGGAGGTGGGAATTGGTGAGGGGCATGTTGACCTTTTGTTGCGCCCTTGGGAAGTCAAAATTGGCGCTGTTGCCCCAGCCATTTTTGCGATGGTATTGCCAACTGGGGAGGTATCATTTTTGGGCACAGGTGCCAATTGACCGAGGAAGGCACCCCTGGGGAAACCAAGCTTGCATATGAACGCAGCGTGCCTTTCTTGAGGCTACTTTTTTTTAACAAATAAATAAATAAACAAAATAAGTAAATAATAAGACAAGAAAAGCAAACCAAAAGGCAACCACGAATCACTGTTTTGTTTCGAGATTTTTTGTCTGAGAGAACCCCCAAAAAGTGGTGAGCCAACCGGCCACCGCGCGTTTCGTTTGGCTCGCGAGGCCTCGCAGGGGCGACTCCGCCGGGAGCTGCAGGGTGATGCTGGGGGCCCCGAGCCACGGGTCTTTGGGGGTTGGCTCAAAGGGCAGCCAAGAAGAAACCCACCTGAGCCAAGAAGCCCAGTTCGGGGTTGGTTCAAATAGTTTTTTTATTTTTGCGGGGGGGGGGGGGTCCCACTTTTTCTTTGTTTTTTTTCAGGGGGGGGGGTGCCCTTATGTTGAGACACACCCTCGTTGGTGTGAATTTTGACGGTCCAAGGTCCACCAACCACTTTGAGGTGGTTCCAACTCTTGAATTCTCCTTCAAGATCACCCTCTACAAGGGGGTTGTGGGGTTTGGGTGTACCCCCCTGTGCTCGGGTTGTTGAAGATGCCATTTGGTCTGTGAAACGCACGTGCAGTTTGGCTCCTGCATTGACAATTTGAGACATCACCTGTGCCACCAGACCACGAGACTAAGAGGAAGCTCCCATTTTGCGGCACTCAGGGGACAATCCCAGGAGCCTCCGATTGAGTGCATTGGAAGCGAGTACGTTCAAGTTGAATCCCGACGCCACGTTTTAGCCCTGATCATTCACCAGGGCTGTAACAGTACTCACTTGCCATGGGCTCGTGGATGGCTTGGGTTCGGCCGAGTTTTGAAAGCCTTTTGGGGGATTCAGTGAAGAGGTCCTGCGGATGCTGAGCGACTGGCTGCGCTATGCTGCCAAGAGGCACCGACGGTCATCCGCGGCCGGCCTTGCTGTAGCCAGCTGTTGTTTCTGCCTTGGCCAAATGAATGTGGCAACCTGGACTGGTTGATTCCATCCCATGACTTTGGGCAACGTATGCGTGTCTTTGCGATGAATGACACACGCAGTTTTTGCCGCTCGATTGTTCCGTGAGCTAGCTGCCTCTTGCTCACTCGTTCTTTCCATGCCAACGTAGAAAATGATGTCACGGGAGCATGTGCCGGGTGGCTTGAATTAGTCATTCAGAAGGGTAAGGATAACTTTGCCCAGATGCTATTTTCAAAAAAAACACAAAAACAAAAACAACAACAACAACAACAGGGGATGGATGATTTTCGGGGAGAAGTCGCACCACAAAAGAAACCTTCAAAAGTTTAGAGTGGCCATCTGCGAGAGCCATGGGGACGAATAAGGGCTGCTGAACCTGTGCCAGGCCTGACAAGCTCCTGCCTGCTGCCTGCCGCGTCCATGCGCACATCGCCCTGATCTTCACAAATGCCGCGGCAGAGTGAGCACTGAAAAGAGGGGTCGAGCACCCCCGAGGGGTGTAAAATTTGGGAAATTTGGGACTGCGCAGTGAGTCGCAAAAGGGCAAAGGCCAAACAACTTTGGCGTTGAAAGTTGCAGTTCAATTGCTCAAACATCTGAGTCCACAAACTGCAGCCAACGCGCGGCAGAAATCTTCTCGCGAAGAAATGACTTGATTTGCCTCAGGGCGATTGATCAATTCGATGGTTTTCGCGACCCCAAGGGAAGCCAAACGACCCGCAACCCGCACGCGACTTCCCAGGTGCCTGCGGCGGAGCTGGGCGTGCACGAGGCGGCTGGCTTCCTGTCAGCGCAGGCGCGCGATCGTTTTTTGACGCGCGTGGAGGAGATGCTGAAACGGGGCGCGGACAAACCCCCGCTCTCATTGGTCGCACAAAACCTGGCAGTTGACACAAAACTTGAGGGGGAGCTTCTTTTTTTCCTAGGCGCAGGCCTCTTTTGCGGCCGCCATTTGACAATTTTCAGGTAGTGGTGGTTTGGATTGGCGATTTGGGGATTTGAACCTCTGGCTGTTGTAAAAGGCCCCTCCTTAACCACCAAGCCACCAATCCAAGCCACCAAGCCATTCAATTAGGGGAAAGCAGACTTTTGGTTTCTGGGTCCCCCCCCCCCAACTAAAAAAAACAACGCAGAAAAAACAAAAAAAAAACGGGAAACACACAACAAAAACTGTTTTGCGTCTCTGTCTCCTGTTTTGTCTCAGGTTTTTCCTCTTGTTCTTCCTCTAAAAAAATCGGCTGGTCCGCAGACTTGGGATCCGAGTTCGATCCGAACTCCAGGCCTTCCTGAACATCAACTTCCGCTGGGCGGAGGCAGGGGGGTAG